CATGAAGCTTACCTTGGAAAGGCTCTCAAATTTATTCCTCTCCAAAATAAGTGATTTCAGATCTGTCAGCGTCCCACAATTCTGGAACAATTCATCCGTCAGGGCATTGTGAGAGAAATTTAAATACTGAAATGAGCTTGTTCTGTTGGGGCAAAGCATGTGTGGCATATATGCATCATATATTGTCAAACTGGCAATATTCATCTCTGAAAACTGTCTGTATAGAATCTCCTGGTTGAAATAAAACAATTTATTACGAACATGCTCCAAAGTTAGTGTTTTCATGGAGCCACCCAAAGATATTAATTGTTCCATAGAGCTTAATAAGGGTAGAAATTCATATTCAGTCAGCTCCCCCAGTGGTCCCCAAAAAGTCAAATTTCTCACAGTCAAATGTTCCACAGGTGAATACCAAATAAACAGGAAAATTTCCAAAATGATAGCCCATTGTAAGTCCACAGTTTCAAGCATCAGAGCTGTTGTCCTGATTTTCTTCAGAAGCGTTAAGGAAGGAGAGGGGAAATCTTTGTTGCTCAACGTATATCTTAAGTTAACTATTTTTAAGATTTCTGAAGTGCTCATTCCATCATACAAGAGGGAAAAACTGAAGTTTTGGTTTGCTGCAAAAACAATATGGAGGCTCCTTGTATTCAAGGCTGTCAGACTCTGAGGTTCATACAAAGAAAAGTCTTCTAAGGTTAGGAAGACAGTGTGCAGAGGCAAATGTATGATATGCCTGAAGTCTGACCTTCGTATCATCGTGGCACTTAATCCTAGGTACTCCAAACGAAACATGTTCCCGAATTCCTGGCAGATGGGCAGGGCAGTAAATTTATTGAAAGAAAGATCTAAATGTCTAAGATATGCAAGAGTTTGACAGTAAACTTTCAAAATGTTATTATGAGATAAATCTAAGTATTCTAAATCTTGATTAAAAATGAAGACACTGAAGTCAAGCTCCGGAATTAGATTATGAGAAAGATTTAACACTTGAAGGTCAGAAAGAGAAATAAATTCTGAGATACTAAGTCCAGAGATCCTATTATGTGATAAATCTAATACATGAGTATGGACTGGAATGTTTTTTGGAACATTAGTTAGCAAACTGCTTGAATAATTTGCAATAAATTCATTCTCCACAGTTGGCTGGATATTATTCCATAGCATGAATGTAAAAACACAAGCACAGACGTAGATATTTGTAAGAGGCCCCATTATGCCTTCCAGGTTTATGTTGGTTCCTTACAGAAACATAGAAGCATGTCTTTGCTGTTCAACATGTCTCAGTGATGAGTCCAGCCCTATGAAAAGAAAACACATGGAATTTGCTGCAATTGTTGAACTGTTGAATTTGCTTTTTATTACTAAAATAAAATTAAATACAAAATTTATGCAATAATTTTATTTTTACACACTCTTGTTCTAAGTTCTTATCAATCCTCCTCACCCTCATTCTTTAATTCCAGTTACTGATTTTCTCAGTTAAGTAGAAACTAATTCCTTCATAATGGGAGGAATACAATCAGTGGTAAGTAAAAAAATCACAAAGATGTTAAGAAATGCAAATTTCTCAACAATCTTCAAACATTCAAAACCAGTATAAACCCACATCAATGCATTTAGGAGTAAAGGAGAACACAACAACCCTCCCTTCTGCT